TGGACGTGAGCTGAAGAAGAGAGAGAAAGAAGGAAAAAAGAACTTCAACATTGAAAAGTAGGAAAAATATATAAACAAAAATGACGTCATTTTCTTCTCTCTTGTATAGTAAATTGAGATTCATTTACTGTTTCATCAATAGTGGCAACTGGTTGAGCTTTTTAATAGAAGGTAGACAATGAGATAGCCATTTGCCACTACTACATTGCTGGCCTACATATTGTTTGATAAAAAATATAAAAAAAAGCACGTCAAATTAAACCATAAGAGCCCTTTCGGTACGGATTAAATTTTGATTTTAATCTAAATCAAAGTCAAATGATCAATATTAACTACATCTTCCATGGATATCACAACTTTTCAACCACACATTTCAAAAATTTTTATTACAATCTACTAAAAAATCTAATTTTAATTTCCACCAAACACCCTCGAGGATACACGATATTGGACGAAGCATCCACGTCTTCGTGTCATTTGTTACAAATTTCATATGCTACTTCCTTGGTTGATATCTTCTAGAATTTTTAAATTTATTTTATAAATTCAGGTTCAATATTAATTTTAATCATACATTTATAATAATTATTTACTATTATCAATACATTTTGTGGGACTCACTACTACTATTTTTTTACTATTCATATAAATTACCTATTTATAAATTTGACAAAATGGAGGCTTAAATATAAGTTTAGACTTTTACATTATATGATAATCACATTATGGAAAAAAAATTGAGATCAAGCCCTTGTTTGAGAATGAATTTTTGAATAGTGTATTGATGGGAAATGTGTGGTTAAAAAATAAAGAAAAGTTTTGGATTTGCGTGTAATATTATTTTATTAAAAAATATGTTTTTGAAATGATGTTAAATCACTGTTTAAGAATGTTTTTTTTTTTTTTTTTTAAATGTGGCTCAAATATGCCCCAAGTGTTTAGAGTTTCATGGCATCCTAATCTTAAAATGTCATGTGTAAAATCTTCAAAGAAAGAATAAGCCGTGATTAATAGAGATTCTTTAAAGCTCATTTTTTTCAAACTCAAAGTTTGTTTGAACTCCATTTTGATAGAATAAATTTGTAGTAGTGATTTTGGAGAATGTATAGTTAAAATAAAATTATTTTATCAGCAGAATGTGTGATTGAAAATGAGTTTTTAAATATTGAGGCACTAATAAGCTATCATTTTCAATCATACATTGCCCTAATAAAATAATTGTACATGTGAATCCATAATTTATTTACTTTTTAATTACATATTCCCAAATTTCTTAAAATCTATTCCTAAAAGACCTATATCAAATAGGGAGAAAATCCCCTTAATGATCACTGAACTTTGCAGAAAATCTCCTAGGAGGTCACCGAACTTCAATATGTCCATAAATAGTCACTGAACTTTACCAAAATCCTCCAAGAGGTCACCAAACTTCAAAACGTCTCTCAATGGTCACTGAACTTTGCCGAAATCCTCCCAAGAGGTCACTCAACATTGCGAATTGGGACCCGTACATAACTAGTTTAGTGACATCTCAGAGACTTTTTGCAAAGTTCAGTGATCATTTGAGGATATTTCGAAATTCGACGACCTCTTGGGAGGATTTTGACAAAATTTAATGACTATTTAGGGATGTATTGAAGTTCAGTGACCTTCTAGGAGATTTTCTGCAAAGTTCAGTGATCATTGGGGGCATTTTCTCTCAAATAGGCCCTAAGTATGGCGTCAATGCAAAGTGATTAGCATATATATGCAATACAAGGGAATTCAGTCCCCTTTTGGCCCCCATTTTGTGGTTAAATTAATGGGTGAAATAGTATTTTTTTGAAAAAATGAGTGGTTGAAAAAGAAGGAAAAGTTTTCGATTTACGTATAATATAAAGGTTGAACCCCAACCTTGAGGGCCTCCACCGCCCCTAGAACTTTGTAAGGGAGGTAAATCGCAAACTACATTTAATATTATTTTATGGAAGATTGTGTGGTTAAAAATAGGAGATAGAAAAATAAAATGTAATGAAATGAAAATTAATGGGAGCCAAACGGGAACATGTCAACTTTTTGAATAAAATGAACTGACAAACAAGTTTTACAAGTATATAAACTCTGCAAAAGTGCTGCACAAGGAGGATTGAACACGAATGTACAGTATTAATCCTTATTGGGTTTCATTTTTTGTAACTCATATTTTAATTCATTTTCAACCATACACTCCTAGTAAAATTATTTTACACATGGACCCATAATTTTTCCTATTTTTTAATCACATATTATCAAAAAAATAAAAATAAAACTATTCTTTACAAAGTCTTTTCTTAAAAAATCTCATCTGAACATGGGTTAAAGAAGGAAAAAATTATCATTTTTTGACAGGCTTTTAAGATCATAAGATGGTGGTCTCATGAAATGTGTTATAAAAAATGAATAAAAGGTCTGGATATAATGAAATATGTTATTAAAAATGAAGTTTGATCAACTTAAAAACTTAAAAAAATAAAAATAAATATTGTCAAACGGAGACTAAATCCCCGTTTGTCCCCCCCCCCTCCATTCTCATTCTTTTTTTCTCTCTTATTTTTAACTACACAATTTTCCATAAAATAATATTATATGCAAATCAAAAACTTTTCATTCATTTTCAATCACACATTTTTCAAAAAACACTATTCCAACCATTAAAATTTGGATAGAATGGGGGCCAAACAGGGGCTAAAGCTGTGTTCATCATTCCGCATAATTGTGTACTAATCTTGATATACAGGGCTTGTTTGAGCCACATTATAGAGAAAAAATGCATTATTAATGTCAAATCAATAGGAATTGTGTGGTTAAAAATAAGAAAAAGTTTTAAATTTGTGTGTAATATTATTTTATTAAAAAATGTGTGATTAAAATAATGTCAAATCACTGTTAAAAAATATATATTTTAAAAAATAATGTGGCTCAAATAGGGGCACATTTATTCACAAAATAACTGTTGTTCACCTTCAAAAGGCAAGATGTGCGCATCAAACAATTTGAGGAAAAGAAATGCAGTCAATTATTAGGTGCAAAAGACCACTTTGAGTTGAAAAGCAACAAAAACTGTCTTATTCAAGAAGTTTAACAACACACACATTTAGACCCGTTTGATAGTCATTTTTTTCAAAATATATTTTTCTCTTTCTTTTTTCAATCACACGTTTTTTATTAAAATAATATTACACGTAAATCAAAAACTTTTTCTTATTTTTTAATCATATATTTCATATCAATTTACTATTCTAAAATACATTTTTACATAAAAAATGCCTAACAAACACCCCCTTACATATATACATTGGATCATGGATGGATGGAAAGTGGGATGTATCAAATTTTGCGAACATGGGCTAAAGAGGAAGCCTCTTAAAAATGACTGAGAAATGCTACACAACACCAAGAAATAAATGGATATACCAACAAAAACTAACCTTTATTGAGGGAGATGGCAAAGTTTTCCCTAGCCGAATTAAAATAATAATGACACCAACCCAATGAACTGATTTCTCTCTAGCCCCAAATGCCTATGTATTAGGTGACATGTAGCTCCGACGATTGAAATAAGAGTCCCACAAACTGGAAATATTGTGGTTGTTTTCTTGCTTCAATTGTTGATTATGCTCTGGCCTATGTAAGATGGACTAATTGTTTTTTATTAGCCCTTGTTTGGCAGGCATTTTGGCCGAAATTGTAATTCAATTTTTGACCATTTTCTTGTCCGTTGGACCCAGTGGTACAGAAAATTCTGATTGCACGGGATGCATAAAGACGATTTTGCCATTACTCCACTTAAAATGAATTTTATGTGGAGGGGCAACTAAGTAATTTTGCTAGGGTTGGTTAATAAATGCAGTTGTCTCCTTCTTGCATATTGGGCAAAATTCTTCTACAAATCATTTGAAAATAGCTATCAAACAAAGGCTTAGTGATTTTGCATGTTATTTAGTTTAGGCGGATGTCTATTGAAAATAAAATGGTAGTTTGTTTTTCAAAATAAAATTGACACACAATTGTAAGGTGTGTTTGATTGTAAATATTTTTGATGAAAAATGTCATTTTTTCATTCAAAATTCTACTTTTGTTTGCTCGATTGATATATTTTTCAAGGAAAACATTTTCCTACTTTTAGTCACATGACTATATGTGTTTTTTTTTTTTTTTGAAAATAAGGAAAATATTTTTCTTTAGGGGGGTTATGTTTTTAGTTTTCAGATAATTTCATCTACTTCCTCTTTCTCCCATCCACCCACCGTTAACAAAATGTATAAGTACAAAAAATGTAATTTGATATTTTTGTTGGACATAAGTGCAATTAGTGATAATTTTTAGGTTCGTCATAAACCTAATTGATTACATTCAATTACGTAAATCAAAAGATCGGTTCTTCCCAAACCTCAAAATTTGCTCGTCTCGACGAGTTTGAGGCCTTCAACGCCTTTTTTTGAATTTTTTTTTTTACTGGTTGTAACTTTTAGATTCCTCCCTAAAATGCTCATTCTCCAAGAGTTTCGAAGTACGAAAATGTTTGGTGGACATTAAAATTAAATTTTTTAGTAGATTGTCATAGAAATTTTTGAAATGTGTGGTTAAAAAAATGTGGGACCCATAAAAGATGTGATTAATATTAATTGTTTGATTTTGATCTAGATTAAAATCAAACATGCTCTAAATTATAAAAGTTTTAGAGCCTGTTTGGGAGTGATTTTGATAATTGATTTTTTAACTATTAGGAGAAAAGTGAGGTTCATTTGTGAGAGAAGAAGTCAAATATAATGACTGAAATAATAAAATAACGATCAAAAAATTAATTTTTTGAAAAAAAAATCACTCCCAAACAGACTATTATAAAGAGTAGTTTCGAAAATAAAATCTTGGCAAGGGCACAATGGTCAAACGACATTTATAACGAATCTTTCGAAATGCCGCCGGATTTCCATTTCGAAAATTTTCAAAACCCCTTCTCCCCTCGCCCTCCCCCGCCCTATGCCCACCCCCACTCCCCACTTTCGCCCTCACAGTCTCTCTCAAGTCTCTAACCGGATCTACAAACCCTAACCAACATTTACAGAAGATACCAAGCAAATCCACGATAGAGAGTCAAAATTATTCTCAAATCGAATCAAAGTTACTGAAATCCATTTCCAATATTTAATTTAGGTTAAACAATTGATTTTCTGTTTTGTGTAATTTTTTACTCCTTCATCGTCTTTGTGTTCTGTGATTAGTGATTACTGCAATTCAAAGCAAGGACACAGTTTTGCCTTAGCTTCGATTGCAATTAACCATGGCCCTACAAAAATTTTGAAACTGTCATCCGTTTCTCTTTCTATCTCTACATACACTTCAATAGAAAACCCACACAGGATCATCATTCATATGGCCTCCAAAAACCAGAACAAGCCTCCTTCGAGTCCTTCACAGGTGAGTTCTTCCTTCATTAATCACTGATATTTTTCCAATTTTTCTTATCTTTCAGCCTTTTTTCCCTGTTTCTTTGAATATCTGATGAGCTATTGGATTTTTGTTTTTCGTTTTTTCGTTTTTGTTTTTGAGGATTAGCAAAAGTAATAGGAAGAAGTATAGGGATCCGACTACATTTCAGAAAAAAATTCCCGTTCTTTTTAATTTTAAAATAGAAGTCTCGAGTCTGCCTTCAGTTTAAAAAATTGCCCAAATGGGAGAACTACAACAGGCAATTTTGTTTCTTACTATTATTTTGGTGCGCTTATTCTGATGTTTTTATTTTCTGTTTTTGTCTGGTCCTGCCTAATTTTCCAGAGCAAGTATAACGACGAGGTTCAGGTAGATAAGCGGCGCAGAATAGGGAACATGAAAATGCTGGCGAATACTGGGACAAGAGCACTAACCAGGCAAGCTTTTTCTGTGGTTAATGGGGCCCAAGATGTGTCCCAAACTGCAGGGCCACCTAGCACTGCCAGTTCTGATTGTGGTGTAATTGAGTTCACCAAAGAGGATGTGGAGGCATTACTCCACGAGAAGCTCAAAGTGAAGAATAAATTTAACTACAAGGTAATTAAAAGTATGGAGTCTGGGTTTTTTGATATTTCAGGGCTGCATTTGCTTTTGAGACGAGTGTCTTTGGCAATTATATCAAGTAAGGATGAGTTTTCTGCTTGAATGTTTTGGTGGGATTAAATTTGTTGAGCTTTTGATGTTCTGCCAGGAAAAAAGTGAGCAGATGTCCGAGTGCATTAAAAAGCTCAAACAATGCATCAGGTGGTTCCAGCAACTTGAAGGAAATCTTGTTACAGAACAGGAGAAACTGAAGAATTTGCTGGAATTAGCAGAGAAGAAATGTAATGATATGGGTATGCTTTATTTGTTTATATAGTCATCAGTGCTTTGGGCTAACAAAGAAATGCTATTGGTATAAGTTCTAACATACAATAACCTTATTGCCTCACCCTCAGAGTTGTTGATGAAAGCAAAGGAAGAAGAGTTGAATTCAATGATTATGGAGTTGAGAAAGAATCTGGAGGTACTACAAAAGAAGTTCACAAAGGAGGAACTGGATAAATTGGTAACATACACATTGATGCGCCAAGTGTTGTTGTTTTGAAGGCTATTGTTTTGTGTATTCGATAAGAACTAAATTGTTTAATTCAACCATCAGGAAGCATTGGAGTCTTTGGCAAAAGAGAAAGATGCTAGACTAGCTGCAGAGAGAATGCAGGATTCCCTTTCAGAAGAGCTGAAGAGAACTCAACAAGACAGCTGTAGTGCCAACCAGAAGGTAAAGAGAGAAGACAAATAACTGAAATTATGTTTCACGGTAGTTTCTAAATGATCTGCTGAAAATTGTAACCTTTGGTCCTTGTTTGACTTGTACAGATACAATCACTTAATGATATGTACAAGCGGTTGCAGGAGTATAACACGAGTTTACAGCAATATAATAGTAGACTTCAGTCTGAACTTGCTGCAACAAATGAGACACTTAAAAGAGTTGAGAAAGAGAAGGCGGCAGTGGTGGAAAACTTGAGCAGTTTGAGGGGACACTATACATCTTTGCAGGAGCAGCTAACTTCATCAAGAGTGAGTATTGTGTTTTGACTTGGTGGACAACTCTCAACTCTGTTTACGTACTCATCACACGATTAATATGTGAGAACGTTATGTGTTTTTCCAGGAGAAAGGATGATTCATTTCTACATTTATACCTTTATATGCTTTCCAGGAGATTGATCTTATCTATTTGTAACCTTTGAATCTAATTTTGAGCATAGTTAGAGTTTAATCATGTGAATCTTGAAATTTTCATTTCTCCTGAACTTTCTCCAAAGTTTGAACTACTAATTTTATTTTTATTTTTATTTTTTTTCGTTTTCCTTTCTAATCCATTGCCACTTTTACCATACTGTTGCATGAATATGCATGGATTGAATGGGAGAACTTGCAATAGTTAACTGGATATTTTCTCAAGGAGTAAATGGAAGAATTGTGACTTGTGGAACTTATGGATGATAATTTGTGAGATGTTTCAAAAATTTCAGCTAGTCTCCTATGCAAAAATTACATGTACCACTATATTCCATCTTTTGCAGAACTTTTTTAATTTCTTTGAATGCGTGACATTTTCCCAGGCTTCATTGTTATTGTAAACATACAGATTTAACAAGTCTTGTTAAATCATGTATCTACTGCTATTCTCTACTTCTGACAAAGGTTTATGATGCTTGATATTTCCTAGGTTTTGCAAGATGAGGCTATCAAACAGAAGGAAGCACTAGGAAATGAAGTTGTTTGCTTGAGGGGTGATTTGCAACAAGTAAGAGATGATCGGGAACGCCAGTTGTCACAAGTCCAGTCTCTATCAGCTGAAGTAGAAAGATATAAAGAGTTCACCGGGAAATCTTTTGTGGAGATAGATAACCTGACTGTAAAATCAAATGAGCTGGAGGTTTGTTTTTTCCATATGTAATGCTTTTCAAACTCAACGATAGGAAATGCATTGACTAACATATGTCATGTAACTTTTTTCAGTCGACGTGTTTGTCTCAAAGTGAGCAAATAAGGCAATTGCAGGAGCAGCTAGCTTTTGCAGAAAAGAAGTTGCAGGTTCCCGGTCTTGCATTTTCAGCTTTTGTTGATATTACTATTTATTTCGGTTTATCTGTTGATAATTATACTAGTTCAAGTACTCTCTTTTTATTTATTTTATTTTGTCATTTTTTAGCTGTGTGATTTATCAGCGTTGGAGACAAAAACAGAATTTGAGGAGCAAAAAGAACTCCTTCTTGAGTTACAGAATCGTGTGGCTGATGCAGAATTAAAAATTGTAGAAGGAGAGAAGATTCGGAAGAAATTACACAACACTATACTGGTAAAAGTTTGTGTTCAAATTTTCATTTAATTTTGGTGTATCTGAATTTTGATAGAAAATTATTACATTACTTCCATCAATGAGATGTTAATTAGAATCCTCTGTCAATACAGGAGTTAAAAGGGAATATCCGTGTTTTCTGTAGAGTGAGACCTCTATTGTCTGATGATGGATTTGGAACTGATGCTAAAGTTATCTCATTCCCTACAGCAATGGAAGCACCTGATCGAGGCATTGATTTGATGCAAAATGGTGGGCCTCTATCAAAATAGAGTCAACAATGATATAATCACAGGATTTGGATTTTCTATTAATGTGATATATTCTATTCATCAAATTTCCTATTTTCATCAGGACAAAAACACTCTTTTACTTTTGACAAAGTGTTTACACCTGAAGCCTCCCAAGAAGATGTCTTCGTTGAGATATCACAACTTGTTCAAAGTGCTCTGGATGGGTACAAGGTAATGTTTTCCCTACAGGTCCCAATCTATCGTTTGTTCTGAACTCCAAATGCAGTGTACTATCACGTTCTTACTTCAAAACTTGAGGTTGGTAGCTGCGTAAGAACTTCGCACAATCCTGGATGATGACCTTTCTTAGTCGTTAGATTATGTTAACATTTCATACTGCCATAGGCCCATAACTGTTGTCAGGTAAATATTCTACTGCTAAATATGAAGATTATTGATCTGAATCCATGAACTCAAGATGATGGGCTGACCAGTTACATCTTGAATTTGTGCTATGATTTTCCTATTAATGATCTGTCTTGTGGCTACAGAAGAATGCTTGATTTCACAGATCTGATGTAGATTATTTTCACTCCATTTTACTGGTCCAGATCTGCATGCACTAACATCCTAATGGTCACCAATAACTGTGCTGTCTCAGGTTTGTATCTTTGCTTATGGACAAACTGGTTCTGGCAAGACATTTACAATGATGGGCAAGCCAGGTATACCTTATCAGAAGGGTTTGATCCCACGATCCTTAGAACAAGTTTTTGAGACCCGGCAAACTCTTCAGTCTCAAGGGTGGAAATATGAAATGCAGGTGTAGTTGATTGCCATTCTCATTTGCCTACTAGTTTAGCTTGCTTATTCCTGCCATCTAATTATTATTCTAATCTAATTATTTAGGTGTCAATGCTTGAAATATACAATGAGACAATACGAGACTTGTTAGCAACAAATCGATCAGGGTTTGATGCACCTCGGCCAGAGAACATGGGAAAGCAATATGCTATAAAACACGATGCAAATGGAAACACTCATGTTTCCGATCTCACGGTTGTTGATGTTCGCAGTAGCAAAGAGGTCTCATATCTTCTAGAGCGGGCAGCACATAGCAGGTGACGAAAGAATCTTGCACCTTATTCTATATGTTGATCAAGCATGTATGCTTACTCTGAAATTCAATCTCTAAAGTTTTAAAGATGCATTCCACCCACTTTTATATACTAGTTCAGACCTCTGTTTAGTTCTATGGTCTCACCAATTTGGACTAGTGTCACACAGTTAATCTCTTGTCTCTTATGGGAATTCCATTTCTTTAGATCCGTTGGCAAGACTCAAATGAATGAACAGTCTTCGAGAAGCCATTTTGTCTTTACACTACGAATAATGGGTGTTAATGAGGTAAATGGACATTGCTTCTTTCTGTTGCACTAGTGTCATGATTCCGTCTTTATCTTTGTCTGAACAAACATAATCACAGATATTATGTTCTTTTTTGTGGCAATAGGGCACTGATCAACAAGTGCAAGGCGTCCTCAATCTAATTGACCTTGCTGGTAGTGAGCGTCTCTCTAAGAGTGGATCTACAGGAGACCGCTTAAAAGAAACCCAGGTATTAGAATAACTAAATAAGAAGTATCTTCATTATTTTTTAATTTTTTTCATAGTACAGATTTGTCCTAAATTATCTTTCTCATTGAGTAACAATCAGGCTATCAACAAGAGTTTATCTTCACTAAGTGATGTTATATTTGCCTTGGCAAAGAAGGAGGAGCACGTTCCATTTAGGAACTCAAAGCTAACATATCTTCTCCAGGTAATTTTCACTACTGATGCCTCGGTAGCATATGAGCAAGTTTGAAAGAAAATGATGTTGGAACAAATTAAGTCAAGGCTTGATTATGGCTAGCTGAGGTAGACATTTAGGAAGTTCTAGCATTAACATTTGGTCATCATGGGCAAAATAATTCTATAATGCCCAAAGTTGAATTGTTACTTATGGTTGAGATTCATTGAACTTTTGTCTACTGAGAAAGTTTATATTGCCGCTCGAATGGGTTAAGACTAGTGCACTTGGTGTTAAAATGATCTCTTCCTGATAGTGGTTGAATTCCAGTTGCCTAGTTGGAATACACCATCTTATCCGATTGAATTTTGCTGTTTCGTCTTCATTTTATATTATACGGGAGTCATTTGGTGATGTTGCTGATAAATCATTGCAATGATTATGGCTAGTTGAGGACGATACTTAGGGCTTACAAGCAGTAACATTCATTTATCATGGGCAAAATAAAGCTATAATGCACTAAGCTCAATCAATAGTTACGTATGGATGAGATTCATTTCCTTTTGCCTGCCTAGTTGGTATATAACATCTTAGCTGATTGAATTTTTCTATGTTGGCTTTAGTTATATATTATAGGCATAACATTTGGTGATGTTGCAGATAAATTAATCAAAAAATAAACAGTGCAGATTAAGTTACTAATACTTTACTGCTTATCCATAATAAAAATCTAAATGTTTTAACTTTTATGATTGATGCATAGAACACTGAACAAACTAAGTATATTGCTAAGGGTATTAAAAAAGAAAGAGATGTGAAATCAAATTAAGGTCTTGCCATTTTAACTTGAATATGAGTGATTTATTGATTCTTGTTGGATTAAAAGGATTAATGCTATTCTTTTTTCCCGTCCTTTTTCAGCCTTGTTTAGGTGGAGATTCAAAGACATTGATGTTTGTCAACGTTTCACCGGATCCTTCATCTGTTGGTGAATCACTTTGTTCACTACGTTTTGCAGCACGTGTAAATGCTTGTGAGATTGGCATCCCCAGGCGCCAAACCAACCTTAGATCTATTGATTCTCGCCTTAGCATTGGCTAAATTTTTAAATAATAAGTGTTCTAGATTTAGGAAAAGTGTGTAATTTTATTTCAAAGGCATTTAATTTTTAACCATGAACAACAGGCCCTTCTAACAGTATTCGTGTGTGATTTGTATGTAAAATCTATACTGTCTTTGTATCACCGATACCCGACGAAATTGCCTTTTTCTGTCATTGGAGTGTATCAATGGTGACGTACATTCGGATATTTAATGTTTTCTACGAATTTGTTAAGGAAAATCAAATGCAATCTGTATTTGAATGGGAAAATTGTCAATACTATTCAATGCAGTCTCCTTTCTTACACGTATATATGCTTCTTTTTGTGATAATCATATATTTGATTTGTAGAATGCACCTGTTCTTCGTTTTACATAGAATGGACAATCGAAGTTTTTACAATTCATAAATTCTTTTGGGTTACAATTTTACGCCAATTCATGAGAACTGATGTATCTACATAATATGACTCCGAGGAAGATTCTGTTTTTACATTGCATTTTCAAGCTAACAACGGTATTTAACATCAATTTAGGTGACAATACTTGTGTTATCAAATTATGGATTTTGCTCCTATAACAAGGAGCTGGTCTTGACAAGAACCCCACAGGCGGGGCCTGCAAAAAAAGGGGACCTCCCCATTTGTGGGGTTTGGTCAGGGGGCAGTCAGCCCCCTTGTTGTTATAGCAACACCTATCAAATTATAGGTTCAATTAAATGTAAGGATTTAAGATTTATTTATTAGGATTTATGACATGTTGACATCTAAATTGGTATTTAATATAATTGGTTTTAAATAACATTACTCTAAAATAAATTATGTGGGAGGAAATTGAACAATAAGTTATGATTAGATTACCTTTTCAACGTTGTTGAACAACCGGTTGGCAAGTTCTTTAAGAGATTTCTTATCATCTACTTTTGCTGCAGAGATCACTTCATCGAAATCATAGTACATAAATGTCGACTTAAGGGGCATATCTCCCATTGCTATGAGATCGAAAGCATATCGTTTCAATCTGTGCATTCTCCCTTTAGTTCCAATATTAGCTATATAGATTCCTTTCTTGAGAAAGGAACTAGTTCCCGTCTCTTCATTGTCAATTTATACGACAAAGAAAACTTATGAGCAGTCTTTCTGATTATAGCTTTTCTTACATTTAAGTCAAAATAGAAAATAAAGTATAGAACTCACTGTTGTTAACAGAGGGTACAACTGTGAGCCAAAATCCATTGTCCTCTGCAAGAGAATTTCCAATGCTTGTATTTCCAAAGAGTGCTATTGAAACAAGGCCTATTGCCAATCTTCTTGTAGTATGCACTTTGTTGTCTTCGAATTCATCTTTTTCTTGCTAAGAAAGCATGTAATTGTTGATTTCTTCGCATCTGGTGTAGCTTGGGGATGTTAGGCAGAGCCTCAAATACTCCATTGAAATTTGCTGTTATTGCCATAGCAGTTCTCAAGTGAAGATGGCTTTTTTTTTTTTTTTTTTGGCCGTTTTGAATTATCTTCTTGAAAATTGCTGGCTTCTACTAGCCACCAAATAGATATCCTTTCGGGTGGATAAATTAGTCATTTTGTTAATATTTGTATACTCAGAAAAAATTCATATTTTTGCGAGGCCTACACGTGTGACATATCGAAAATCATGCTGTCTTGGAATTGAATTTTAGTGGCTGCAATGTTGTCTTGAAGTGGAAACTGGCAAAGAATTAGATGCAACTTCAAATTGCAAGACATTATTGATAAAATTTAGTTGTTAAAATAGCCATCTTCCGAAAATAATCATCAAGAATTTTAATTATTATTAAGTTGTAAGCAAGTAAGTTCACCACGAAACTGATCACTCCAAGAGTACTCGTCCATAAACAGTTATTAATTTAAAGGACGCAAAAAACGAAACAACTGTGCAGTGAGCATGGAGTGCTAACATATTGTCGTTGATTTTATTTTCGTAAATGTACGAACCGTAACAATAGTGGACCTAAGAGTCCGGATTTTCAATCCCCAACGACTATATTCTAGCTCTTAATTCAAATTTTATTTAACCACTATTTGATGAAAGCAAACAAAAAGTTGTAGGACTTGAGTTTTTAATCTAAATGCTAAAAATTAAATAGATGCACACACAATTGGTTTGAAAATCAATTAATGAATAGACGTTAGGGCAAAATAGTGTTTGGTTGAATTCTCATATTGTATTCAATTTACCTATCTCGAGTTCTCATTGAACTTATTTAACTAATTAAGTTTCATATCTCTAGGCAAATTTAATTTAGTTAAACGAGTTCTTTGTCCTAAAAATTCAATTATGACCCAATAATTAACATAAGTATCTCTACTCATTATACAAATTTATATAATTTTACTACATGGTTTAAATCCTAAACTCATATCTCTATTTGTAAAAAATTTACAAAAATCATCAAATTATTGAAGATAATTTAATGCATTCAATTCATAGCAAAATTAACATATGAAAAAATTAAAAACTAAGAATTTTAATAAGAAAATATAAAGGATCCCAATTGGTTATAGTATTCACCCTAACAATGAATTTAACTATGCATAATGAAAGAAGAAAAATAATCAATTATCTTAGAATACATCACCAGATTTGTAGTAAAGATGTAGAATAAAAAATATAATTATTGCATCAAGATCTCCTTCCCCTTCCAATCAATGCTATAAATCTTTAATTGCTTGGTGTTTACCTCCTTTGAATTTTTCTTTTGATTTTCTAATTATGTTATTTTGCCTCTCAATATGTGAAAAACCCTTCAAAAGTGTGAGAAAAATGTATTTATATGTGTTTCCCCTGTTTGTGTAGAAAATAAGATTTTTATGGATTTTAAAACGGCCCAAAAACGCGCCCTAGACAATCCCGATGTAGTGCCACGAAAAGATTCAAGTAGCACCTAGACGCTGCCTCTCGGATTCAATTTTTAGTTTTTTTAAGTTTCGTAGCCTAGGCGCTGCCTTTCTGCTTAAATTTCCTTATTTTTAGCCTTTTCGTCCACTTTAATTCCTTTTTTTGCGTTACCTTTCTTAATTTTCAAAACACTAACAAACACATGAAAAACATTTTATACTCACAAGATCTATCAAATAATCAAATTAAAATTGTGCAAAATTTGTGAGTGAAACAAACCCATCACATATGAACCATATAGCTAAGAGAAACCATGAATAAAGTTCAATTTATTTCATCAACATGGGTCGACGTACGATAGACTAAGATTTCAAATCAGAAGATACCTTAGAAGTAATGACATATCGAAGTCTATTGGTTTAGGTGTTCTTAAAAATATACCAAGAAGGAACCAAAAAGTAGCCAACTTTAAATTTATCCTAAGCAATTTATCCTAAGCAAGGCTCATTTTTTGTCGATGGCATTACTGTTTCACCTTAATAAGATATCGAGAATTGTGATTTGCTGTAGACTGATAGTTTTTTGGTTTTGTTCTAGATATTTTTTAACTGATCATCAAAAAATTTAAAATTATGAATGATTAACATAGTCGAAAGAATTGGATAGAGTAGAGCTGGAGGGTCCTACTTTGATCTCATCCGTTTGAATCCCTGTTACAATCCCAGAATAAATTGAACACTGCATGCTACTCAATTCAAAAAAGTTTTCGAGTTCTCATATGGCACATCATCAATAATTCATCATCAGCTAATAATGAAGTCTCGAGTTGTCAAAATAGACTTGAAACATGAGATTTCGTCGCTTCTCAAGCTAAAAAAAAAAGGCTGTCCTATAAGTTTCGATGTAGCCTTTTTTTTTTTTTAAAAATCTCTCTAGATATCTTGATGCTTCTTCAAGCAAAGATGAGGCATTATAGATAATCTGTTAGAGACGAGACATATTTATGTTAACTTGTCTTCAACACGCGTCTAGCGTGCAACTGTGCATGCTAGTTTTATTTTTTCGTCAAAGGCCTCACATGTCCACAATTTTCATAAACATTGCAGGGTATAGTACACTTTATGGCTTCATGGTGCATGCCTTCAGTAGCGGTGAAGCCATTTTTCGGAAGACTGGCCTTAAGTCCCCAGGATATTTTGTTTCAACGGGTGGATGTCGACGAGGTTAAGGTAATATACTGCCAGATATATGCAATCTTGGTACATAAAATCATAGTTTTTGTCTGAGAATCATGTTTGGTTTTATCAGGAGTTAGCATCAAAGATGGAGATTAAAGCCACGGCCACTTTTGGTTCATGGAGGGGGATCTGGTGGATAAGTTTGTGGGCGCCAATCCTAATTAATTATAACTATTTATTCGTTTTCATCGTTGATCTTTTTAGTGCAGCACGACACGACTAAATAGTATAAGAAAATACAAGTTCAAATTAATTGTGTTGATATCAGAATTCACAACGTTTATCGTCTAAAATTCTAAATATACAAAAATGAATGCCTACTACTACTTCTTAGAAAAAGGCTTCCTGAAGAAGTTATCTTATACCAGCTTTATTTAAAAGCTCTTCTAATTAAACAAAACACTTTTAAAAAATTATCAAAACATATTTAAAGGCAGCTTTTTAGTCTTAGAAACAGTTTTTACCTTTTCAAAAGTCTTGTTAGATGAATTCTTAGCTCGCTCAGCTATATTTAAATGAGATATATGATGATCGGCCCCTTAGGGCATAGTCCAGTGGTGCAAATGACAGGAGTGATATTATCTCACGCTTTACTGACAGTCGCAGTGTGGGGGTTTGATTCCTAAGACATGAAATTGGATTTCTTGTAGGCGCAATGTACAGGCAGCTCTTGTTCCTTGGCTTGTTGGGGCACATCCCGTGATTTACCTCCCTCGTAAAGCTCTAGGGGCGGGGTGGTAGGGGACCTCAAGGTTGGGGTTCAACTTTTTTTTTTTTTTTTTTTTTTTTTTTTTTTTTGTTATATGATGATCGAATCAACTATGAAGTCACCAAGCAATAATTTCACTACCTAATTATTCTGGTGTAGAAATTCACTTGGTTATTGTTCCTATGTCCCAACATGTATAAAATACTGTACCTAAAAAGTAAATGATGTCAATTAAGCCAACCCAATTGTTACAAGTTTAATGAAACAACAATAATGAACAAATGGCATCAGCCATTAATCAAAGATAAAATGTTTTATTAATGAATTATGCATAAGCATTCAGAAAGGGTGGTGCTACTGTCAACTTGCTTAATGCTGTGCTGCTAGTGCTGAATATGATTCGACATGAGCATGATTGGCTAAGCTTGAAAACTTATTCAGAATAAGTAATTATTAAAGATAAGTAGATTACTAATTTTAACATATAGAAAGACTGAGATTATGACATCCCAGAAAAAGAAATAATGTGATATCATCTTCTATCACCTAATTGTATATAGCTATGTATAATTCTTGCTAGTGGCTGTATCAATTGCTTTACTCAACAAAATTAAGCTATTTAAGAACAAATTATATTCAATAGAATAGATTGATTGACGATTTTTTTTTTTCAATTTTTTTTTGTTTTTTTTATTTTTTAAGTGCTAGTGTTATTTCGGAGTGATTCAATGAAGAATTGGATAAGTAAAAAAATTCTCTTCGGCCCATTTTTATCACAAGTTTAGTCTAAGTTAGCGTGTCTCCCGTACTCGTGATCATATTATGTGTCGATGTGAGAAAAAAATAAAATAATGTAATTCAGAGTAAGTGCATATTTTTTTCTTTATAGATGCTTTAGATTTTTATGAAATTAGGTCCTAAGAACTCTTTTCTTGGACCAAAAGGGGACATTATCCTAGGGAATTTCAATTGGTTAATAGTTCAATATTTTGTTTTCATGATAATTTACCAATAGCAAGTTGACAAGTCAGCATCAATATCCAGCTGAAATTTTAAAAATTTGGCAAAAGATGTTATATGGGTATCATCATATTTTTGTGGCCATCTCTTTCCCATATCTTTTGACCTTTCGTGGGTCGAAATATTATTCTTCCATTATCATTTTGATGTTGAAATAAGATAGCTATATTTAAGAATTTCCGTAAAATGTAAAATATACGTATATTCCATCTCCGCAGATTATATAAATATCTAAAGTTTAAATAAAGTTTATAATAGACATATTTTTGGAGGCGCAAAATAGAAGAGTCGACTTGCCTTTACAGAGGCGCTATATGATTATGATCAATGCCTTTTGACGGGTTGGACATGTTTGAATCATCAATGTATACGTTAAAATCATATATAACCTTTAAATGATTAACAACTAAATATCACAATCATCAAACAACTTGACATTTATATTCAATTTACCTGAAATTCGAGTGCCATTTGATCATTCTAATTATTTTCACATATTCAAATAAGTTGAGGATCCAAAATCTTATTTTAAAAGTTGAGAACCGATAACCACAGAATAAAAGAATGGAGAAAACAACAATAATTTATTGATAATAAGTTATTAGTGTATAATGTTATCTAGTGTAGAGGTGTTAGAGCACTAATGCATGTAATTACATTTTATAAAATCAATTAATTGAGTCTTATGACATTGCATTTAAATAAATTTATGATTGGATATTATGTAATNTTTTTTTTCCCTTTTCCCTTTATTTATTTCTTGTATCTGTATCTGTAGGTGTTGCTATTGATTTATCAAAACTCGTGTTTCAATTTTATTATTAGAAGTTTATAATGCTCCAATAGCTGTAGCAGATCTTGATTAGATGTTTTGGAGTGTGTTTGTAATCAAATTAGATGTTGGGCCTTCAATATGTTGTCACACAGAAACTTTCAAGCACCTAAGAAAGTGCTTCTTGTTTTAGTTATTCTTCGCTTCGACAAGTAACACTATAATTTTTCTATTGGTATGTGAGGGGAAAACATGATGACGTCAAATTTATTGGGAATAATGCTTAGTTATATATAAGTGATAAACGTCATTCAAATCATTGCAAGTTCCTTTTGAAGTTCTAAGGTTTCCGTTTTTAGTAACCAATTCAGGTGTTTTTTCTTCAATTTCACACTAGTAAATATCAATTTTCACACTAGTAAATATCAATTTTCACTGTACTCACCCTTTTCTTTATGCTGATCCAATCTATTGATAGTGGGGGAATTGATGGCTCATTTGTGGAATCAGATATGTGGAAGGAAACTGCCTCAAAAAAACGGTAAAGAACATTTTTTTTGGTTTGCATATCTTGTACGGTTGATCAGTTGTTCTGGGTTTTATGTAAAGATGCTTAGTGATGTACATGTTGCTCTAATATATAGTTTTTTTTACTTCAAGGATTGGGGTGAGGGAGGGGTTTCTTAATCTCCTTACACTGTACAGTAGTTGCTCGGAATTTTCAGCTTTCCATGGCATTTATACCTGCTTGTGATGTAGCATTGCTTGTGTAGATACGATAGATGTTATAAGAGTTTCATTTCCTGAAGTGAGCATTGGTATTGTTAATTCCAACTATATGGGAGAGGAAAATAAATATATTATCAAATAGAGATGGTATTATTTTTTTGCTGCTAGACCTTCATTTTTATTTTCTCACATTTTTATTTTTCACTTACATAGACCTAGAGCGGAATCATGCGCTCCATCAAGTTCTAAAGCATGCAGGGAAAAACAACGGAGGGATAGGCTAAATGACAAGTAGGATCATGGTCTCTGATGTCTCCTCTGTCCTTACCCCCTTTATAACCCTCTAATAACGTCTTGGACATGCTTGTTAGGTTTATGGAATTGGGTGCTCTTCTCGAGCCTGGACGACCTCCTAAAACAGACAAGGCTGCCATCTTGGTTGATGCAGTTTGTATGGTAACTCACCTACGAGGTGAAGCCCAGAAGCTAAAAGACTCCAATTTGAATCTTCAGGATAAGATTAAAGAACTCAAGGTTAAAAAGTTTTCTTCACAAAACACATTTCTTTATTTATATTATATCCATTAATATCCGTTGATGTGAACCCTTTTTTTCTTAAAATTTGAACAGTGAATCAAAAGACGATCACTATATATGCGACTCTCATGCAAGTTACACTAATATTTGTAGGCTGAGAAGAACGATCTTCGTGATGAGAAGCAAAGGTTAAAGGCTGAGAAGGAGAAGCTAGAGCAACAACTAAATACCATGAATGTCCAACCTGGCTTTCTTCCCGCTCCTCATGCCATACCTGCTGCTTTTGCTGCTGCAGGCCAAGCTGGGAGCAACAAGTTGGTGCCCATCATCAGTTATCCCGGAGTTTCCATGTGGCAATTCATGCCACCCGCAGCTGTTGATACTTCACAGGACCATGTGCTTCGCCCACCAGTCGCCTAACTTGGTGACCAAATCCTTTGATGGTGTAGTTGGCATTTTGGTCCAACTGTAAAATTTATATTGTCAATGCTTTTGACTGTCTTAGATTTTGCTCAACTGTCAGACTTGGATTTAGCAGATGATGGAAGGTACTTGTGGTTCCTAAATATCAATTTAGTCGATGCTCATATTGTTGTGAAGCGTTAATAAGTTAATTTTGCACGTGTGTTTTCTAAGGATTTTTCATATGGCTTACCATGTTGAAATACCAACCGTAAAAAAAGACTAACAAACACTGCTGATTTAATTTCCTTTTTCTGGCAAAAAATTGAAATTGTTTGGTTAAAAATGGCACATTTTGATGTTATCTGGATTGAGCGTAACGGAGCCTATGCATCTGCTTGCAAATTATGCCGAATGCTGCCAAAAAAATTTCTGTATTCTATCCTTGCAGGTTTTTTGAAGCTCAGATTTTCCATTTGCTATTTCCTTATCTGGTATGGTCTCTGTGTAAATTTCTTCACGTAAAAGGCCCCCTTTTTTACCTATTGACTAATCAAAATGGCTTCCAAATTCCTCCGAATTCATCATCAAACCTTCAAAATATCTGACTCTAAATTTTCACTTCCTAAAACCCAAAACCCTGCCTGAATCTAGAATTTCGTTCTCAAATTTATCCCTGAAAGAGGCTATTCACCAATTGAAAACTTCGCTTTCGCCCTCAACGACCCAATACTCGCCGGAAAGATTAAAAAAAGTGAGGGAGCTGAGATTCCGGGTTGAAATTCCCGTCATTGATGACTCGCCGGATTCACTGACTCAACTAGCACTTGAAGTGTTGGTGAAATGCCCATTAGAAGAAAAGACTCAAAGATCGAGATTCTTATTATATGGTCAACCCAGAGCTTAACTCAAGCTGCTGCTGTGGCCTGAGTCTTAATCTTCATATCATCAGTTTTTGAGGATACCAGAATCTTGAATGCTGAAGTGGCTGTGTTTTTGTCCGACAGTATTTATCCAAAGCCGGTAATAATTTTCAATCCTAAATGGGGCTTTGAAGAGGAGAGTGATTTTGGTGAACTGTGAGTGGTTTTGTGGGTACTTTTGAGGTTGTTTATTCATTTAAGGGGTTGGAGGATAAAGGGATTTTGAACAAGAGAAAAGGGGTGATTTTCTAATGTGTGAAAGATGGGATCTTGAGTGGTGAGAAACGGAATGCGTTGGTTGAACCGTTGAAGAAGGGAATTGAAAGTGGTTTCAACCTTTAAAGTGTTGCCAGCGAGAATGTTCTGTACAATTTAATGGCTATCAATTCTCCCATTACAAAGTCTGCTAAGTTCTTGAAGGATTTGATGTCCAATGTGATAAGGAAGAAGTGCTTTTGCGAAAATGAGAATCTTTTACCTGATTATTTTCTTGAACTCTACTCTAGAGAATCTGTTTGTCAAAATGCCTGAATGAAATAAGAATTTTAACAGAATAAAGTATTTATGTTACTTGGTTTCAACATCTGCTCATGACCTTGCCTATACAGTTTCAGAATAGTTGGTATTCCATTATAAGTGACAAACATAAAATGTTAT